CCTATAAATATGTTTTCTTATTCTCAATATTTTTCAATCCTTAGCAACAACTAGTTATTGTCATATATTTTCTCCTGCAAGAATGGCGAGGATGTTCCCAAAGAAGCCGCAACCAAAAAGAATCAAGAGCTTAAGAACCCGACGACTTCCTCCTTCAGCCCCTAGATCCAACCTATTTGAGAAGGCAAAACAAATTTTTGTCCTCTATACGATGCAAATGGCGTTAATAGTGATGTCTCCCACAAAAGTGTTCTCCCTTCATTTTCCTGATGGTGACACAACCTCGAATGTCCGTCATAATGGTGGGGAGGAATCAACATCAGGGTTTAATGAGTGCTCTGTTCAGCACGATGACAACCAGAGTACGAAGTGGATGCATTTGTACAACTTGATGACTACCCCAATTGAGTTGCTCCAATCAGATGAGATAACGATGTTGACTTCAATCATAAACAAACTTCTGAGAGAATAAGCATATTGCGCCAAGCACTTAGAAATGGAGCTTTTACTCCAAATGGTAATCACCTTGCTAATTATCCAATTATCCCTTCCTCATTTGATACTCATGGCCAGGGTATTGGCCGTGAGAATTAAAACTAATCAATTTGGTATTGTGAGATGAGTTCGACTAGGTCATTTTTTGTTACAGGTCTTTACTTTTAAGATGAAATGATTTTAGTCGAACTTCCTGCCGTATTAACTACTTATCATATAATAAATAAAAGAAATAATTTGGGTTTTCCCTTTCGAATATGCTTTTGGATTGACTAATCATGAATGCTTGATATTTTAGTTTCTTGAATGTTTGCATCAATTAATGGATCAGATGTTGCTTGAAATTTTGTGAAAGAATTCTTATAACAAAATCTACGTGCCTAATCATAACGTATCGAAGACAGAGTATGTGGAATTACGAGCTTGATAATTCCCTAAACAACCTCCTATGGTAAATTATGAGGTTATTACTAATAGATTTGGTGTTTTGACAAACTGAATTTATCATGGTATCTTTTGTGTCTCATTTATTTACTATTTATATGAGACAATATATATAGATAATTGGGAGAAACAGTCAGAGATTCTTATATAGATATATGTAATTTATAATATATTTTACAAAAATTGTATAAAAAATTAAGTCAACTATATAATTTTGAATTTAATTAAAATTAAATATATGAGCTTAAAAAAATTACAATATAATTTTAATATTTTGAATAAATATATAACTTAGTCACATAAAATAATTATCGATAAAATACAATAAAGTTTTAAATAATATTAAAAACTTTGGCCCGAGTTATAACACTAACTTTTAATGTATATAATTACTTTGTTAAACTAAGTCTCGAAACATAAAGATTAAATTATAATTTTTTTAAACGATAAATTATTTATTATACTTTTGATTAATTTCATACACATTGATAGCAATATTATAAATAAATTTTAAAATTCTTAATATTTTTTAAATTAATTCATATATTAAATAAATTACATAATTTAATTCTAATTTTAGTTAAAATGATAGTATACATATATATATAATAAAAATAATAAAATTGAAATAATAATAATTTATTTAAATTTTTTAAATATAAAATATTTTTTTAATTTTTAATTACTTAGAAATATACGTGTATAATTATTTATTTAAATTTTTAGTCTGTTAAATACTTTAAAATTATGCATTGTATAAAATTTTAATTAATTAATTAATTTTTTTAAAAAAAATGAAAATAATAAAATAGTATTTTTTTTTATAAAATTAAAATAGTGTTTATATTATTTTTAATAATTAAAAATATAATAAAATATTAGAAACAGTAAGTAACTAACTGAGAGAAACCTGTTCGTTTCCCAATAAAAACCCAAATACTCACTCGCAGACGCCGCCATCGGGAACTCAGACCTTCGCCTTTCGTTTCTCCATTTCCACATCTCTCCTTGCTTTCTCAATTCCTTAAACCTAAGATCTCTAAGCCAACATGTCGGGTTGGATGATGGTCAAATCGTCGGGAAGGCAGCTTCTGCGCCGGGGCTACGCTACCGTTGCTGCACCGGAGAGGAAGGTTGCCGTTCTAGGCGCCGCCGGTGGGATCGGCCAACCCCTCGCTCTCCTCATGAAGCTCAACCCTCTCGTCTCCAAGCTCGCCCTCTACGATATCGCCAACACTCCCGGCGTCGCCGCTGATGTCGGCCACGTCAACACCAGATCTGAGGTCCTCTATTCTCTCTAGATTTGTTCACACGTAATGTACGCTCGTGGAATTTGTGTTTGATCTTTTCCGGGGAAGTTGTTTTATATGGCTTTTTCTTCATTTGATTCTAGGATCTCTTGATTTGTTTATATGTGGATAGTTTTAGGTACTTCGTAGTGTCTTCATTCTTCGTCTAGGTTATTCTTAGATTTTGATTGCTATTACTTTGATACTTTCTTGTGCTATACTTGTAATCGTTATTGACTGCGCCTGTTTTATATGGATTACTTGGTTATAATTTTCCGGTATTTGTTATATTTCGCCTTTTCATTTGTTTGTGCTATTCGATTTCGATTTCTCTTGCTCCGGAAGGTTTTTTTTTTTTTTTTGGTGGTTCCTGCAATTTAAGTTGATATGGTTTACAGTTGTCTTCTTCTCTGATGGGGTTTCCTTTTGGGTTTTATTGTATGCAGTACTTATACATGCTTGATCCTGTTGATAGAAATCCTTTTCTTCTAACATCTTGAAACCTTTTTGCTTTTGCGTTTGTTATAGGTAACTGGGTATATGGGTGAAGACCAGCTGGGTCAGGCTCTGGAGGGATCTGATGTCGTCATCATTCCAGCTGGTGTTCCCAGGAAGCCTGGTATGACCCGTGATGATCTTTTCAACATCAATGCAGGAATTGTAAAAGGTCTTTGCACTGCCATCGCCAAGTACTGCCCCGATGTTAGTTCAGCTACCCTTTTTTTTTTCTTTATTTATTTGGTAACGGAAATTAAAAAAAAAAATCTCTGGCTTATAACAAATATTTCTTTTGTCCATGAAATAGCAGCAGGGCGTTTGTTTTTTTTTTTACTAGGGATGCTGGTTTAAAAAAATTGTTATGTTACAGAACCTTCAGTTGAACTTACTGCCTGTAGATGAATGTCTGGTGTATTCCTGTTATTTCAATCTTCTCGGCTATATAGGTGGACTTAAAACGGTTAAATTTTCAAGTAATTGGAGTTCTCTTGATTTGGTTATGATAATCTGCCAAATCACTGAAATTTGTTACTTTCTGGACACAGGCACTAGTTAACATGATAAGCAACCCTGTGAATTCAACTGTTCCAATCGCAGCCGAAGTTTTCAAGAAAGCAGGGGTCTATGATGAAAAGAAGTTGTTTGGTGTGACTACCCTTGATGTGGTTAGAGCCAAGACTTTCTACGCTGGAAAAGCAAATGTGCCAGTTGCAGGTCTGCCACCTACTCGATGCCCTTTTATTGTGCATATATTTCCGTTGTTTTCTCTTTTTAAAGTCTTATCTATATGCATTCTATTTCATTGTGTCTCATCAGCATCGATTGTTAAGTTGAGTTATTCAAATTAGTCATAGGAGGTTGCTTTGCTGAATTGAATTTACGTATTTGTGTCTAGATGTCAATGTTCCAGTTGTTGGTGGCCATGCTGGCATAACTATTCTTCCACTATTTTCCCAGGTACTTTTGAAAGTTCTCTTGTGTGCTGCTGGCTTTCTTTTCCCTGTTTTATTATTCTGGCTATTATCTTTGTATTTTTAGAAAATGCTAACTATGAATTATGACCAATTATCTCTAGGCCACACCAACAGCCAACTTGTCAGATGAGGACATTAAGGCTCTTACCAAGAGAACGCAAGACGGAGGGACAGAGGTCGTAGAAGCAAAGGCTGGAAAGGGTTCTGCAACATTATCAATGGCGTAAGTTTGGTTGTTTATATAACATTGTGATTTTCTTTCTTCTATTCTCCTTAAATTTGATTGCTTCTAGAAGGTAGATTTATGGTCTGTCAATATCCTGTTTCGTTCTGAAATATCTTATGCAGAAGTATTGTTGGCCTGAATGTATCACTCTTATGACCCTCTTTGTCTCAATTTATTTTCCCTTCCCTAAAACTTGGCTGGTTGTGGTGTTTATTTTCATTCACATTGATGTGAAAAAAATTTGTATCCCCTGACTTGTGTTCCCTCTTGCTTGCAGCTATGCTGGAGCCATTTTTGCTGATGCTTGCTTGAAGGGTCTCAATGGTGTTCCTGATGTGGTGGAATGTTCATTTGTGCAATCAACGATTACTGAACTTCCTTTCTTTGCTTCTAAGGTGATTGAGCTGAACTTCTTTTAAGAATGTAGCATATATGCATGTTTCCCTGTGTCTCCGATTTGTTTGAGTTGCAGTTTCAGTTTATCTCCACTTGTATCTTGGTCCTAATCCAGAAATGCATGGACAGCAACCTTTCTGACTGTATATTTGATTCCCTTTTATCCATTGCAGGTGAGGCTTGGAAAGAATGGGGTTGAGGAAGTCATGGGATTGGGTGCTCTCTCAGATTTTGAAAAGGAAGGTTTGGAAGCTTTGAAACCTGAGCTCAAAGCATCCATTGAGAAAGGAATTAAGTTTGCCAACCAAAGTTAAATAACTTATTTTTGGCTGGCAATTTTGAACTTGTACTTCTGCTGCCATTGGCAGCCATATTTGCAATTTTTTGGTAGGGTGGGTGGCCATACACAGACTTCAAGTTCCTTAATAACTCCCATTTGGTTGTGATGGGAGGTTGCGGTATCGAACCTGATTGTATGTAGGCAGGATTGTTCATCAGTTTATGACTTTTTCAAAACGGCTCTCTGTCTGGCATCACAATGTCACATAGCTGCCATTGTAGTTTATGAGCTGGTTTTTCACTAGCTAGCATTCTGTGGTTCTTTTTTGTGTTTGGAGGATATTTAGCATTCAAGGTTAGAAGTCGCTGTTTTCATTTATTACATTCCTTGTCTTAAGCATATGGTAGCGTAGTATACAAGCATTGGTCTCCATTTTCAGGTTGGCGGCCACCACATACCAAAGGATAAGAATATTGTAGATAATGAATGATAAACAACAAAAGCTTCCGGAGATTCCTAAAGTGAAAATTCATCTTGGTGCAGAAGAATTTTAGTAAGTTAGCACTTCATATTTTCTTAAAATCAAAAAGTAAAACAATCTGGACTTCTCTTCTTGAGTCCAGTAGAAACTAGGTATTCAATCTGGACTTTCTCCTCTGCGAAGGATCGATCTTGCGAAGAGGCCCATGATCTTGTCGAAAGACTCGGAGACAGCCTGACACCGTGTTAGATTCCTAGAT